TCGCCTACCAGCAGGATCATAATCAAGAGGAAGTTTCTTAAGACTGACCAGCGGCTTGTGATCTGTTATGATAGTGAATGGGTGACAAGCAAGATAGTGCCGAAAGTGGCGAACTGAACAACAATGACATACAATTCTCTTTCAAATGTTGACCATTTTCTTTCCGCAGCAGACAAGACATGACTGACGTATTCAATTACATGTTCTTTTCCTTCTTTCTTTTGTGAAAGGACAGATCACACAAAATGAAGAGAAGCATCTGTTTAAAGAAGGAAAGGAGCCGAAAAATTTGGAAAGGCTATAATTGGTGATGAAGTGAGCGCCTGTTTCAGTACAAGAAAACCTTAATTTGCTTCCACTGACCAAATGAATGGCACTCCATAGTGTGTAAGACGTACAAGGGTTCAGCCATCTTAGAAAATTGTCTAATGAATCGATGATAATAGGAACACAGCCCAAGAAAAGCCCTGACCTGTGTGACTGATATTGGAATTGGCCATGTCCTCACTTCATCTATGTTTGACGGGTCTGGCTCAATCCCGGCACTGGAAACACGGTGGCCCAGAAAAGTTACAGAGGAGCGTGCTAACTGGTACTTGGATGGCTTAAGTTTTAGACCAGCTGTAAAAAGTCTCTGGAAAACTTCACGCAAGTGCTGTAGGTATTGTGAAAATTTGGCACTGTAGATGATAATATCATCTAAGTAGATCAAACAAATGCTCCAGTGCAGACCTCGAAGCACAAGTTCCATTAACTGCTGCAAACTGGGTGGTGGATTGGAGATGCCCATCGGCCTCTTGCAAACTTGATGTAACCCAGCACCAGTGGAAAAGGCTGTCTTTTCTTTATTGCTAGGGTTAAGTGGAATTTGCCAGTAGCCGGCAGTCAAGTCAATTGTGCTAAACACTCTGGCTCCAGAAAGCCTGTCAAAGATGTCATCCACCAGAGGAAGAGGGTGCGAGTCTTTAATGGTAACATTATTAAGGCGTCTAAAATCAACACAGAACCATCTTTGATGTGCCATCTTTTTATCGAACAAGAACAACCGGGGCTGACCATGGACTTTGAGACTCCTCAATGATGTTGTGGTCTAAGAGCTTTGACACCTCTTGTTGCAGTACAGCCTGAGTAGCTGGTGATGTTCTATATAGGCAAAGTTTTAATGGAGCTGTGTTACCCGTATAAATACTATGTGTGATCAAGTTTGTCTTGCCATAGTCATGAGAATGAACACTAAAAATGTCAGAAAATTCTGTCAGTAGGCGCTTAAGCTCTACTTGCTCATCAGCATTTATTTGACAATCCTCCAAATGCACATCTGACATTGGGTGGCCATGGAAAGCTACACTAGAAGTCACAGCTGAAACTAATGCATATTCATCATGTGCATTGCCAGTGACAGAGAAAATCTGACCTAATGGACATCCAGCATCAAGCGAGACATGTTCATTAGTTGGGTTCACAACTCGAACTATGCCCCTCCCTTGAACAGTGGTCAACGTTCGAGCTACACCTTAAGTCTTAAGTGGAGGAGGGTGTGGTTCCAATAAACCCACATATGTGTCAATGAAACACGAACACGAACGACCTGCTGATCAACTGAGTAGATAAAGCTGGAATGGATCTACGGCAGTCATCAGTAATGAGTGAGAGACCCGAGCCCGTATCTAATAATGCATGAAGTTCAGTGCCAGCCAATGCAATTTGAATAAAAGGTGTGGATGGAGTGTTATGAACAACCAAAGTGTTTATAGTGGACCACTTTTGGGGAGGAACCTGGCATTTGGTCTCCAATGACAGCTTCTACTCGTTTCCCCGGTGTTGCGAGAAAGGGGCTTTCTCTCTGTGAGACTCAGTGAAGTGTACGTGTCGTGTGGGGGAAAAAGAATATCTTGATGACTTATGAGACTGGGGGGGTGGTGACAGAGAGCTATGTCTGCGATAACTTGAATGTCTGTACTGTGGACCGTGTGAAGTTGGACGTTTGTTGTGGGTAACATACTCAGGGTTGTAATCCTTGAAGGCGAGCGACCTGACCTAGCGTTAACATAAGGCCTGTGGGGTGTGTGTGCGTCAAAGTGTGTGGTGTAAGGAGGGTGTGACTCACAACTATGGGAATAGCTATAACGTTTTTGGCAGGAGAAGCTGTCAGTTTGGGGTGCTTGATCATGTTCGAAGTAGTCACGGCAGCGTCGTGTAGAAAAGCAGTCATCTCGATGGTGCTGTCGACCTCCGTGCGCATGTTGTACAGTACAGCAGCAGTCTCTATGGCGATAATGATCATCCAAGTCAGGCTGGCGATGTTGTGTTGAGATGTCATAGTCCACAGCAGCACAAGACTGATGTGGAGAATGTGTGGAAGACATCACCTTGTCCTGGAAACTGGAAATATGATGTGAAAGTTGGTCCACACGTTCATCCATATGTCGTTGATGAGACTGACGTAAGGCATGCAAATCAGTTCGGACTTCAGCTGTGGCTGATGCTAGTTCAGTGATATGGTTTGCGGTCACTGTGTTAGTTGTTGGTTGCTGGTTCAACATCACGTGCACAACAGCTGAAGGGTTAGCAACACTGATGTCCAGCTGAGCACGTTCCCACTGAGTGGCAATTTTTAAAACATTGTCTAAAGTCACAGCGCCATGCTCATGGATTTTAAGTTGAAGCAATGGTGCTAAACCAGTCACAAAACGCAGAAAAATCTCACAATTCCATGTCGCTGCATCATATTGTGGAAATGCTTCAGACACTAAATTTGTGAGCTCAGCAGCATAGACTTCAAGAGGTTCTTGTAGTTTACGTGGACGTGCATTTAATAATGTCTGGAAAGTAGCCGAAAATGTTGTACAGCCAAAAACAGTGGACAAACTGGCTTAAGCCAAAGCATAATCAGCTTTCACATCAGATGAGAGAGACTTCCAATAAGCAAAAGCAGGACTAATAAGCTGAACAGGAAGAAGTATGGCCTTATCCAGTGGTACAGCTGAAACATTAAGAGCTACCTTAAATCTCTGTATCCATGCGCTAAATGGCTCAATACCATAATCGGAAAAAGAATGTGAAAAATCAATTTTAAATGGCAGGTGCATGTTTGCTGCATCCGCCAGATGCCTGTCTCCTCGTGCAGCAGCTGCGTCAAGCTCTTCGTCCGCCATTGTTGTTGAAAAAGAAAACAATAACGCACGTAATCCAAACTTGCAAACAAAAAGAGCACATAAAAAATACACTGAAAATGTATCAACGTATCAAGGAACTATGACGTCAATTTGTATGCAATAACCCGGAAGCGAGTTAGCATTTTAACACTTCCGGTTCCCAGTGCAGCCTGTCTTCTGCTCTCTGTAATGCAAACAATAGACTGTTGCATCACTCAGCGATGCAATGTCAGACACAAAGGCACTCAAATGGAGCTAGTGATGTCACTGTGATGGGTAGGGTTAGGGGTGGGGTTAGGTGAGCCCATTAAAAAGCATTGGATGCAGCCCAGATTGCACTGCACCGAGTCTGCAGCCAGACCCCTCTCCCCTCGCGGGCCTCTGATACTATTCCCGAACTTATTCAACGAAACACATAACATTTGTTTCATTTTAAAATTCACTCCCAACATAAAGTGTACATTAAAACAAAAAAGAACATACACGTATAATAAAAAAAACACAGTAAACACAATAAATAGTTGGGGGAAAAAAAAAAAAAAAAAAAAAAAAATATATATATATATATATATATATATATATATATATATATATATATATATATATATATTTTTTTTTTTTTTTATTAATTGTTTATCATATTATTAATTAAAATAATGTTTATAATATATCAGAGTACACTGTTCATTGAACAATCAACATTTAAGGAGTTCTCTTTTACCAAAATGAAATAAAATAACGCTATGACCATTTGTTTACGTGTTGACGAATGAACCCATTAAACTATAGGTGAATTAGGTAAGATAAACCATCCGTAGTGTATGTCCTGTTTCTCCAGATTAGGTGTTGAGCGTTTGTCTAAAGACCCACCTCATAAAAACTAGAGGTTACGAAACACCAACATGGTGCGGCTAATATCACTTTGATAAAAACGACCCTGGGAGTAAGTAAAACATATAACCTACATTTACAGTGATTCATCTGTGAATGTTTATTAACATCTTTATACATGCTTCAAATGGTGATACCTTACTTTATACTTTAAAAGACACCTGGCAATCTTGATATATGGTGATCTGTTAATTAATAGAAAAAAAAATTAAAAATTAAAAAAAAAAAAAATATATATATATATATATATATATATATATATATATATATATATATATATATATATATTTTTTTTTTTATTATTAATTGTTTATCAAATTTTAATTAAAATAATGTTTATAATATATCAGAGTACACTGTTCATTGAACAATCAACATTTAAGGAGTTCTCTTTTACCAAAATGAAATAAAATAACGCTATGACCATTTGTTTACGTGTTGACGAATGAACCCATTAAACTATAGGTGAATTAGGTAAGATAAACCATCCGTAGTGTATGTCCTGTTTCTCCAGATTAGGTGTTGAGCGTTTGTCTAAAGACCCACCTCATAAAAACTAGAGGTTACGAAACACCAACATGGTGCGGCTAATATCACTTTGATAAAAACGACCCTGGGAGTAAGTAAAACATATAACCTACATTAACAGTGATTCATCTGTGAATGTTTATTAACATCTTTATACATGCTTCAAATGGTGATACCTTACTTTATACTTTAAAAGACACCTGGCAATCTTGATATATGGTGATCTGTTAATTAATAGAAAAAAAATTAAAAATTTAAAAAAAAAAAAAATATATATATATATATATATATATATATATATATATATATATATATATATATATATATATATATATTTTTTTTTTTTTTTTTTTTTTATTAATTGTTTATCATATTATTAATTAAAATAATGTTTATAATATATCAGAGTACACTGTTCATTGAACAATCAACATTTAAGGAGTTCTCTTTTACCAAAATGAAATAAAATAACGCTATGACCATTTGTTTACGTGTTGACGAATGAACCCATTAAACCTCCAGTCGCATACTTTATTTTGTGCGCAGCAGATAAAATAGGTGGCAGGACCTTCTGGTGCGCGGAGGAAGGCTCACCCCTCCCAGCGCCTTTTGCACAGCCGCAGTTGGTGCTCGTGCAGACGGCGAAGAGCCGCTAGAGGAGCCGCTGCTGCTGCTGTGAAGATCCTCCGGTCCGGCTTCATCTTCATCATCATCATCACAGCCTCCATCCGCCCGCGCCGCGCTGCACCTGCCGACAGCGCTGCCATTAAATACAATGGAAAGATCAGAGAGACACGGAAACATCTAAAACAGACGCATCTCCTCCAACAGACAAGGTAGGAAAGACTCCAGATGGGGAGCTACTGAAGGGGACCGGCTGTATCTGAAATCGTTATGCTCTGCATATTACTGCACATAAATCCTTTTTACACAGCAAGTGCTACAGCGTTATTGAAAAGCTGAAGGGATTCAGAGGAAGCAGTGCTTGCAGGATCTGATTGCAGTGAAAATGTGCTTTGAGGGTCCATATGTGAGAGATCTGATGCAGAGGCGCCTTTATAAGCAGGAACCCGCCTTTATTTAATATCAGCACTCAACAGGGCCCTCCCTTTTTCTTCATTCTCCACCATTGTATTCAAAAGTATCTCAATAATTGCTGCTTATGTGCAGCTTTAATAACGGTGAGGTGAAATGTGTTGTAATTGATCATAATTAGATTCTTTGTTCTTTGTTAAGACAGTAACCGAGAAGTAATGTAATTTAAGTGAACAATTGCTTCTGTGAAAATTATTATCAGATAGTTTTGTAGACATTTCAGTTACATATGGTTATACAAGCCTTGTGTTTTCCAGGATGCGTATTAGTGTGAATGCATTGTGTTAATGTTATTTTCGCAATAATTTTTAATGTGGAAAAAATATTGAAATCATGTGGTTAACCTATCTAGGGTAAATATGTATTAAAATATACAAAACATTGCATTTGAATGGAATTGGCAGTAATATTTATTTTATAATTATATATAAAGCAACATATTTCTTTTTTAAATTACATTTTTCAGATTTTTCCAGCACTAAATTCTCTTGAAAAATTAAGAAAAATATTTCATAGTAACTAATTTGTAATATTTGAGAAATAAATGCATAAAAAATCCAATAAATAATTGGAACTAATAATAATCATTATAACAATAATAAATAATAATCATTTTATTACGTATTTTAAGTCTAAGTTTAATTATTGTTAGGTTGTTAGGATTTATACATCCATACAATTAAGCTTTGGCCACCACAACCCCAAACTGTGGTGCAAAATAATCCTTAATATTCAAAAGTAATATCTCAAAATAAAAAATATTGTCATTATTTACTTACCATAACATTTCATTCTAAACCTTGTGGCCTTTTTTTCTTTGCAACACAAAACAAGATAATTTGAAGAATTTTGGTGTCAAAGCATGCCTCAGTGACATCCATTAAATCAGCAGAAACTACAACAGAAGTCAACATGACTGTAAAATGTCTTCTCTTGTGCTCTAATAGGAAAACGTCATAGGAATTGTCATGTTTGTAGACTATACTTGTGTTGTGTTATGTTGATTTATCCCCTTCTTTAGACTAGTGCTCATTATGTTTGTCTGTGTGTGTTATTTCAAACAGGAGGCAGAATGAGTGAAGAGGTGTCAGTTTCTCCAAGCTGGCTGGCTCAAGAACCCACCTGGGGCAGCAGCGGCGCGGGGAGCATAGAGAACATCACTGTGGGAACATACTCACCGGCGGTCATCCTGCCAGCGAGACCACCTACGGAGCTGCTGGTGAACCCGTGGGACATCGTACTCTGTTCATCTGGCACCCTCATCGCCTGTGAAAACGCCCTGGTGGTTTTGGTCATCTGGCAGAACCCGGCTTTACGCGCTCCGATGTTTCTACTGATCGGCAGTCTAGCTCTAGCTGACCTATTGGCTGGTTTGGGATTAGTCCTGCACTTTACTTTCGCATACCTACTGCGCTCTGATTCAGCCCAGCTGTTGACTGTAGGTCTGGTGGTGGCGTCCTTCTCCGCATCAGTTTTCAGCCTGCTGGCCATCACCATTGACCGCTACCTGTCGCTGTACTACGCCCTCACCTACAACTCCGAACGAACTGCCGCCTTCACATACACCATGCTGGTGCTTCTATGGGGCGTTTCCTTGTGTTTGGGTTTGCTCCCAGTCACCGGTGTTAACTGCTTAGGGCAGGAGGTAAACTGCAGCGTGGTGTGGCCCCTAACGAAAAACAACGTGGCCGTTTTATCCGTGTCCTTCCTTCTACTCTTCGGCCTCATGCTACAACTCTATGTGCAGATCTGCAAAATCGTCATGCGGCATGCGCACCAAATTGCCCTCCAGCACCACTTTTTAGCAGCAAGCCCTCATTACGTCACGACGCGTAAAGGCGTATCCACGCTGGCGATAATTCTGGGCACATTCGCTGCCTGCTGGATGCCGTTTACTGTATACTCGCTCATAGCCGATTATACATACCCACCGCTCTACACGTACGCCACCCTGGTGCCCGCCACCTACAACTCAGTCATCAACCCAGTCATTTACGCATTCCGCAATCAAGAGATCCAGAAAGCGTTGTGGCTGGTGTGCTGTGGATGTATCCCTGCCAGCGTGGCCCATCGGGCACGGACCCCCAGCGACGTCTGATGTAATGTGCCTAGGGAATTGCACAGGTCATGGGACAAGAAAGGGCATGTGCGTCACCCGTTTATGTCTTCCCCTAAAGCCCAAAGTATACTTTGGTTTTTACGCATATGCGAGAGTCTGCGTACACCTGAATCGTACGTTCGGATATCTGCTTTGAATTGTTTTTGCGCCGCTACACTTTGGCCACAAGGTGTCAACAGTAAACATATCGGGAAAAAGTGGGATAACAAAAACACAACTTTATGAGGGGATTACAAGGCATCCAAAGATGTATTTTAAAGACTTTTTGGAGGAAAGATGAGCAGAAATTGGACAAGATTGAATCTTTCTTATCTGTGTAAACTTCGAAAGGTTGTATGTGCGTCTTGTGTGCGTAAAAATCAAACAAAGAAGTAAACTTTGGGCTTAATTGTTATGTGACAACCACTGCCACACAATCTTTTGCCTGATCCTGTTCCAACCAGCTGCCACACCCTGTCCAGGATTTGAAAAAGGGCCGGGAATTGACGCAGTGTGGCAGGCAGCTGTAAATATCCTGTACATAAATATGCCTTTGCATTTTTTTGTGCTTGTTTTGGCTTGGCCACAGCGGCAGCCCCCTGTTGCATGGGCTGTGAGGGAGGAGGAGGAAGATGTGGGGCAGCACGAGGCGGTCCGCTTGACTGGATCCCGAAGCTCATTCATCTCTTCCTGCTGTTGCTGCATTCAGGAACGTGCGCTGAACGTTAAGTAACCGCGGTGTGCTAAAAATAGACACGAGGCGCTCGGTGATCCGCGCCTTGCGTCCTCCATAGAAACACAGAGAGGCGCGCTTTTCTCGTCTCTTTGATTTAAATCTCAACCCGAGCGTGGCCGAATGTAAAATGTCCTCCAAAGCAGAAAAACCATGAAGAGCTAATTACAATCTCAGATCGAGAACCACTCTATAAATAACCCAACCCACGGATGCCTTTATTTTGGTTTGGATCGGAAGTGGAACTGTCACCCGTCCCGCATTCCTCTTCCATAAATGCGGGATGAAAGTGAACGGGAGCGTGGAGAAAGTGTATGTGTGGTCATTTTAAACAGTCCCCTGTGAATAGAGGCTCACTTCAAACAACTGTCGAGTACAAAACGTGCATTAAGTGTTTGAGAATAAGAGGTTTGTTTATATGCAGCAACATTGCTGAGAACAGAACCGAATGTATTTTCTTTTGATTTGCTCTTAATTTGCATTGTGCTCCCAAAGCTCTGAATAGATCACTGCTCCTTTTATTAAGTTCAACTTTTAATTAATACTGGGTACAGGATGGCTGTCAAACAATGGTCATTCATAGAATTTTGCTTAAAATTTACATGTAATGCATTTGCGTAGAAGCATCAATATAAGTCAGTTAGAGGGGGTAATCTCTAATGTTAATTACAAATTTCATCCCAAAATCAAATGATTCTTTTTCAGAATTAAGCTACATATTCTATTATATAATATAATTTTACACTGTAAAACATACAATCTGGTTAGCTCCATCGCCGGTTCGAGCCCTGACTGGGTCAGTTGGCATTTCTGTGAGGAGTTTGCATGTTCTTCCTGTGTTCCTCCGGGTGCTCCGGTTTCCCCCACTGTCCAAATACTTGCGCTATAGGTGAATTAGGTAAGATAAACCATCCGTAGTGTATGTCCTGTTTCTCCAGATTAGGTGTTGAGCGTTTGTCTAAAGACCCACCTCATAAAAACTAGAGGTTACGAAACACCAACATGGTGCGGCTAATATCACTTTGATAAAAACGACCCTGGGAGTAAGTAAAACATATAACCTACATTAACAGTGATTCATCTGTGAATGTTTATTAACATCTTTATACATGCTTCAAATGGTGATACCTTACTTTATACTTTAAAAGACACCTGGCAATCTTGATATATGGTGATCTGTTAATTAATAGTTTTTTTTACAGTGTAATAGCATATCTCATTGAAATCTAGTAAGATCTATTGGGATAATGAGATGTAAAATTGGACTTGTTTAAAAAAAACTAAATGTTTTCCTTTTGATTTTGGGGTGAAATGTAACCTAGACACATTTTCATGAGATTTATCAATAATATTCTCATTTGGTGATATGCCAGCCAAATTACAGTTCCACTCCCAAATGAGCTTCCCATAGATTTACTGTCAATATGATATACTGTCAGTAAACTGTTTAATCCAACCCTTACTTATTCTGATTACGTACCCCATATACATTTCTGGAGAGCGGCAAATGCGTACCAGGAGCTATGTTTTTTGCAGTTATTGTATTCGACTACCATAGTTTTGTATTCCACCAGAGGTCACTGCGTTGGCTTATTTGAGATCTCAAATTTCTCATGCGAGGCCTTTTGTTCCTGTTGTACTCACGTAAATCCACCAGAAGCCGCTGTCAACTGACTGATCAACCAACCAATACCCTCAACCTTACCTAAACCCAACCAACAGTGTTTTGAAACGCAATCCAAAAGAAGATAAGCCCTTGCCTGATTTTACCACATTTTCAGATTATACTTCATTCTCACCCTGTTATTAACTTGTTTGTTTTATTTTTTGGCTTCTGTTTTTGTCTTACCCACTTTCTGGAACCGTTCTTTGCCGTACTCGAACCCGGTCAACTGTGTTTTGGTTCTCAAGCCAACATACATGTCGACATGTATGTTGCTACTGGACAAACTGGTAACAGCGGAAAAGCGACATGAGGAATGGTGCCGCCCCGTAGCGTTTGTTTTAAAGATGAAATGCAGCCATAAGTAGCTCTGGCTACATAATTTGCGATCTCCAGAAATGTATATAGGGCTACATTTTCAGAATGAGCCTGTGTTGGTTGAATCTTGTCAAACAATCTCACGAGACAAAGATTACAGTGAGGAGATCAGCTGGTAAATGTCAACTGAGGGAGAATGGTATTATAAATCTCTCCTGACCCTGTTCTCCTCCTCTTTGTGGAGTCATGCTACTATTACGAGCTGAAGTTCACCCCATGCTTTTTACCTTTCGCCCTCCAAATGCCAACCAGCCACTATCCATTTCAGTGGCAGAATCCATCAGCGAGCAATAATTACAGACCAAGTGTTTCATCAAATTATAGCAATACTCTGGCAGCAATAAAAGCCGTGCCCAAGCAAAACCAACACCTCAGCTAGTCTGAAAAAAAAAAAAAAACATCCATGAAAAAACCACCCGGATTCCTAGAACATCTGACAACTGTGCTTATATCAGCATCGCCCGAATGATATTAGTGAATTTGGGATTAAAAAATAAACAAACTGAACAGATGTCCCAATCCCTATAAACATGTCCATAATCCCACTGCCTCGTGTCCTGTCGTCCAGAAAGGGACTGTGCCCTGTGGTCATATACAATATCTAACTATGAATGAAATCTCTCTGTACACTCAATGTGACCTATTCTACAGTATGCATTTGCTTTTGCGAACCTTAGAGATGTTTATAATGTGTGAGGAACGTGTTGTGTAAGGTGTGACTGTCGGTGCATGTGTGTGTGTGTGTGTGTGTGTGTGTGTGTGTGTGTGCGAAAGCATGCATAAATGTTCATCTCTCTAGGGACAATGTTGTAGTCGGGGGTTATAATGTATATTCCCCATAGACCTGCATGGGCTAGAGTGGCTACCAGTCTTCCCATCGCACCCTCTTTACATCGTGCCTGCGGGTCGGACACAGCCTCGTTACCTTTGTTTTTTTTCCTTTTTGCCTGAGTGACCTCTATATAATTCCACTGAAACAGCACATGGGTGGTAGCAAAGCAGGTATGCGAGTTTTAATAGGGCTTAGCATGGAGATGATGACCGATGTGTTGTGAGCTACGTTTGACCTTTGAGTAGGAATTATTTATTTTGCTATTTCGACTGAAAAAGTCTATTTTTCCCCCTCAGTCTGGATTCTTTGGGAATTCCTGAGATTTTGTTTTGTATTCTTGAAGCGCTGTACGGCCTCTTCTGAATGTATCGACAAAGACATTCTTAGGGCATCCTATCGATCGTCTTGATCCTGTAAATAAGGCATGCGACTTTAAGGAGGCATGATGGCATTTCTCATCTGGTGTCATAGAGGAATGTAATGATGATGTGTTTTGGGCCTGGAAGTTGGCACGACCCTGGATTCTGTCAAAAATACATAAGATCTTTCCATTGGACTTTTAGATTATTGCAGAAAGTAAGCTCTGTGACTAACAAAAGTTCTTACAGATTTTGCTTATTATGATTGTCTTCAATTTGCCAGGAGTATTTTAGAAAAAATAATGAAAACTGTAATGTTAACTATATTAGCATCTGTATCATAGCATCCATACTATATACTACCTGACAAAAATCTTGTCGACAATGCCAGTTGTAAGAACAACAAATAATAACTTGACTTCTAGTGGAACATTTGGAAAAGTGGCAGACGATAAATTCTTCTGATGATTCATCTGTTGAACTACATCCCAATCTTCACAAATACTGCAGAAGACCTATTAGATTCCACATGGACTCAAGATTCTCACAGAAATCTGTCAAGTTTGGGGAAGGAAAAATCATGGTTTGGGGTTAAATTCAGCATGGGGGCATGTGAGAGATCTGCAGAGTGGATGGCAACATCTGAGAGATCTGCAGAGTGGATGGCAACATCAACAGCCGAGGTATCAAGACATTTGTGCTGCCAGTTACATTACAAACCACAGGAGAGGGCAAATTATTCAGCAGGATAGCGCTCCTTCTCATACCTCAGCCTCTACATTAAAGTTCCTGAAAGCAAAGAAGGTCAAGGTGCTCCAGCATTAGCCAGCCCAGTCTCCAGACACGAATATTATTAAGCATGTCTTGGGTAGGATGAAGGAGGAGGCCATAAAGATGAATCCAAAGAATCTCGATGAACTCTGGGAGTCCTGCAAGAACTCTTTCATTCTTCCATTCCAATGACTTTATGATTAAGTTATTTGAGTCATTGCAGAGAGACCTCATTAAATAATTCAAAATCAAGGCATGATCTTTGCCATTCAAATAAGCCAGTTCTGATACCAAATGATCAACTAGAAGTCAAGTTATTATTTGTTGTTCCTAAAACTTGGATAGGCAACAAGACTTTTGTCAGGTAGTGTATAAAGCAGGGATGTCCAAACTTGGTCCTAGAGGGCCGTTGTCCTGCAAAGTACAGTCCCAATCCTAAACAGACACACCTGGGCTAGCTAATAAAGCAATTACTAAGCCTTCTAGAAACATCCTTGCAGGTGTGTTGAGGCAAGTTGGAGCTAAAATCTACAGGACACCGGCCCCCCAGGATCAAGTTTAGACACCACTGGCATAAAACTTTTCCATTGCATGGTAGGGTGCAGTTTGGTTCAATACAGCTCATTTTTGAGGACATTTCCACTGCGTTTGGTACCTAGTACTTTCCAAGATTCCAAGCAAAGCGTACCATTTCCAAAACATGATGTCTGTAGAAGAAGTCCAGATGTTTTTCATGTTGGTAGCTAAGAAGCAGAACCTGTGATGGGATGACCCAAAATGAAAAAGATTTTCAGGAAGTTGCAGCTGTAGAGGCTGTGATGATTCCACCCACTTTGAGTGTACTAAACTGCAGTAGAAATGCACAACGAGCAGAGCAAAATCAGACCAAAGCATGCCAAGTTGAACATTACCATACCGCAGAGTGGAAAAGCGGCTTATGCTAGCAGCCACTGCAGTTTTGTGTTGTGCTGCCTACTGCTTTAAATGCCTGGACTCTTTAAGGAGGGATGGATTCTAATAGGCTGGCCATGTTTGATTTGTTCACCAATTGGAAAAAAAGGTCTGATGTTGTTGTTCCTTTATTCTTTTACACATACTGGTGTTCTTTAAAATTTAAATCAGTTCTTTAAACTAAATTGCTATAATAACCATCTTCCAACTGTTTCCAAGAATGCAACTAATAACAAATTGAGGCCCCAAACAAACTCTCTAGTCCCATTTAGCTACTTGTTAGAAACCACCTTTTACTCAAGATGAAAAAAAAAAAAAAAATCGCAAGGGTATTACTGGTGTATTTTATTTCATAGTATAACATGTGAATACATCTTGACCTTGTGTTAATCACAGACCATATTTCCGACATTTAACCTAAATCTCACAGACTTCAGGACAATGGAATTGCAAACTTGTTTCAGGCTTACAGCAACACATCATCCCTGCATCAATCTATTTCTCAGCAGTTAACCTTGGGCCACATTCCCGTGTCTCCAGTTGCCTGGGCATGCTTGTCTACAGCAGATTGAGAGGGTTAAAGCTTGATCCACAGCCGTTTGGTCAGAAATGACCAGGGAATTATTGCGGTGGCTTTTGGGGGGTTAGTCCTTCCACCTAAAGCATCAGATCTCCATCTTTTTGGAAAAGAGCTTTGTAAAATGATGTTATCATGCTTTGTGCCTGGTGTGTGATGGATTTTTCACATGTGGATGGACGTTTGCCAACTGAATCTTTGATTTAAATAGACTTGTATTTGATCGGGCTCTGTAATCCATTGTAAGAGCTTGAAAATGTCAACCTGAAGGGTGACAAGGGCTTGGATGGGAGTTTTTCTTATTATTTTTTTATTTTAAAAGCATAGATATTGAAATGATGTGGTTTATAAGTGTAACTGGGGCCAGAAAGTAAGAGCTAGCTAGGTAAACCTCACTCTTCCTGGAGTTGTGTGCATAAACCTCACTACTCTTGCTTTACGGATTCACTAGTGAACATGGGTTTAATGGAGGCCAGCTAGTAAGAGCTTTGCAGGTAAACTTCACTACACCCGCGTGAAGAGTCACGCATTAGTGATTACTACTAGAGGCTACAGTTTTTTTGCATCCTTCTTAATGTTTCCTCATCCTATGCCAGAATTGCAAGTTAAGTTCTGCTGAGATGATTAAAATCATATCGGTTGAACTGGTGCCGTGACCCGGAAGGGATCTGGGTGAGTAAACCTCACCACTCTTATGTCAAGAGTCTCATTAGAGATTAATGCTAAACACTGCAGTCTTCAGTATTTGTGTTGAAAACAATGGCAAGTAGAACTCACTACTCATCCTTAAAGAGTCATACTAGTGACCAAAGCTGGAGGCTGCAATCTTTAGTGTCCCTTTAATGTTAGTATACCACCACCGGAGTGATGCAAGTAGACCTGGAGGGGTTATAATATTGCCGTGACCCGGATGAAAGTAAGATTTAGGGGGTAAGTGTAACAGTCGCCAAATAGTATGATTTGGGTGAGTAAACCCCACCCCACTTATGTCAAGGGTCCCATTAGTGGCTAAATCTAGACACTGCAGCTTTCAGTTGTTGAACTCTAAACTCAATCCCAAAACGCATCCATCAAGAGTCATACTAGTGACCAATGCTAGAGGCTGCAGTCTTTAGTTTCCCTTTAAAAACACAGGCCTGAATCCTGCTTGGAGTGATGCAAGTAGACTTGGGGGTGTTCATCATTGCCGCGGCCCAGATGGGTGTGAGATTTTGGGGGGTGATGTATCAGAGACATGTAGAATTGGAGGGGTTATATTGGTGCCATGACCCGGAAGGGAGTGAGATTAGGCAGTAAGTGTAACAGAGGCCAAATAGTATGATTTGGGTGAGTAAACCTCACAACTCTTATGTCAAGAGTCCCATTAGTAACTAATTCTAGACACTGCAGTTTTCAGTGTCTGAAAAACATTGGCAAGTAAAACTCACCACTAATCCTTCAGGAGTCATACTATTGACCAACGCTGGATGATGCAGTCTTTAGTGTCCCTTTAGTGTTAGTATGCCTCCAGATTGTGCCGTTACCTAGATGGGAGTGAGGTTTTGGGGGATGTATCAGAGGCATGCTGAATTGAAGGGTTTATATTGGTGCCGTGACCCGGATGGGGATTAGGTTTGGGGGTTGATTTAATGGAGACATGTAGAACGAAAGGGGTTACATAAAGAATCTTTCTACATTTACAGCAAGATTGAGCCTTGTTTTGTACTTCATTCGGTTACTAGAATCGAAATCTTGAACTATGGGTAATCGGTTTCAGCATCTTGTGTACATGTATGCGTAGTTTTAACTGTGAAATGCACTTTATTTTTTTGACAAGAAAAGGCACAACAATTTACTTATCTGCAAAACAATATTATAAGAATTATAATCAAGATGCACTAATTAACATTGTAAGACATTGTGTTAACGTGTTGTATATTTTTCCAAGTTGTTGGTTGTATACTTTTATTGCTTTGTTAGTTTAATGAACTGAGAGATCTTGTTAATTTTGTATTAAAAAGAATGTGCTGTGCATTAAAAATATCCTCGCCTGGGTTTATTCACACTCGCGCATCAATTGGCCGGGTGCCTCAAATCCACTGTTGCCATGGCGATGCCAGTCTCAGCTGTACTGTTTCCATAGAGACGTGAATCTCCGAATCAAAACTGTCCTGTTTCCATGACGGAGGCACTCAGAGGCTGGAGCCGAGAGGCATTTAACAGGATTCGGCAGATTTGACTGTCAGCGCCAACCACCCCACACACGCATGACATAAACACCAGACATCACTGTGCCAGCACATTTTAGGTCGTTTAATCAAACCCCTCTGGTCAGTTCACACAAATGTAAGTACTGGCATCAATGGCTCTTAACATCAAAACTTTCATGCAGAAACTTCAACCTCAACATGCTTTTTAATCCGTTCCATTTGCTATCCGCTAAATAAAATATGTCCATATTAACAAGTGTTACGTTAAAAATCTTTAGAAAAAATGGAAAAAGCATCATACGTGGGAAAAGACTGACTATTTTAGTATTCCGTAATACAGTCGGCCTATCATGCCTTTATTAAAATGCATACAGTACAAAATGATGGTGTGTATGGGAAATGCAATGTTAACGTTGGCATGTAAGTTACTGAGTGAGTGTCTGTGAAGCATGTGGTGTATTAGTATAGTGTTAGTCAGACCAGTCATTGTCCTCTAGCTCAGATTCATCCTCAGAGTCACTGTATTCCACTGCGATGCGCCGGGACAAGATAGTGGCGACATCATTGCCCACCGGCTCTCGTTTTGCCTGCTGTTCCTGTTGCTCTTGAACTTTTTTCAGCTGGATACCTGCAGCATAAACAAACACGCACCTTCAACAAAGTTCAACTCTTTCAAAAGTGGCTAAGAATTTAAGTCATTGGCGCTCGCTCACATGATCAATATTGTAGTGGAGTGTTGACAAGAGGTTAATGTTACAGGGAGTGAATTTACTGTTTAATATGACGTCTTTCTGCCCCATGAAGGGTTTTAATAAGTTTGATTCATGCACAGATTGTTAGTTTTTTTGTTTTGGTTTGTTTATAATAAGATGAATTAAGACCTGAGTGAATTCACAAAAAGCTTATCATTTATAATAAAAATCTAAACTATTCTGTCATAGACTGATTTTAAAAGTAAAAGTGAAGCTGATATTCGTAAGTATCGGCTGGAGTCACATAGGAACGGCGTTCGCGATGACATCTTGTTGTGTACCTGGCTGTATATATATGATAAGCGAGGAGAAAGTTACACAAATTTATGATTTCACTGCTTTCCGAGTGACACGAAGTTCCGTTCTGAATGGATAGTGAAAATAAAAAAGAATATCAGACCTCATTTTTAGCTAAATTAAGAAAATGGCACTAGTTAGCAAATGTTTTCTTTCCCAAACAGACGTTTTAGATGCCATTTATCAAACTCAAGTTAATGAACTGAGTCTTTCACTATATTTGACTCCTCACGATACTGATTTTCAGAACTGAAATTTTGAAAAATCCTCCATTTCCCGCTAACATTTAAGCGCTGTTGGATGTGTTCTTAAACACCACTAATTTGCCATAGTATTCACCTGTGCTCAACAGAAATGACTGTGATTGCCCGTAAAGGTCATCAGTTATCCGCACTTCACCAATGTTTACAGAGTGCAATCACAGACAAGAGAACTGCTGATGAATCGACTGATCTTCGCAGCTTTAAAACACTCCAGTGTCCGTTTATCTGTGTTTGCACTTGATGAAGAGTGGTAAACTAATGACCTTCACAGCCAATCACAGTAATTTCTGTTAAGCACTGGTGAATACTATGGCAAATCAGCGGTGTTTAAGAACATGCTCAACCTTGCTTAAATGGATGGTTTTTAAAATTTGAGTACCGGTACAACACTATTACAGGCAACACAGAGGACTACATTGTTTTATCGCTCCCTGGGTTACATAGGCTGAAGCAGGAAAGCGTCCCCATAGTGTTGACCTGGTGCCATTAACCAGGTCTATTATTAAAGCCAATAAAGCCTAGGAGGACACTTAAGCTATTACTCTTTAAGAGATTGTGATTTAGTTTAATATCTAATATGCTTTTAATTGTTTAGATGAAACTTAACTGAGTGATATTGAAGTGATGTTTACACCACATCTGAATGATGGCAACAAATGGAGGTTTGTAGTCCATGGCATGTTGCTGGAATGTTTACAGTGCTGATCTTATACCTCTGGGATTTCCTTTTCGAATACTTCCCTGATATTAAAACACATTTATAAATCATTCTCATTACAAACATGGGAGGATGTTTGGCGCAAATTGGATGTAATCATAATATAATCTGACAATTAAGAGTTACCAATTTTAGAACCTGTTTTATTGAAATGTAATATAATAAATGAAAATCATGACCTAATAACGTTCTTTAATAATGATCAATAAAACTCTTAAAATGAAACTTTTCATAATATGATCAGTGGTCTTACCCATTCTTATAGCTGCGAGCAGGTCGCTGCGGGCATCACTTATGGGCTGGGCCTCATTAGGCACAGAGGGCCGTTTGGGAGTGATGGATTGGATGGCACTGGGTGGAGGGGGTGGGGCTACTGGTGGAGGAGGAGCAGCCATTGGTCCGGAGGTAGGTGGAATGGGTGGGGCATAGCCAGCCATTGCTCCCATTGGTCCTACATGTCCTGGAGGAGGGCCAGATCCCATGGGCGGCATAGCAAAAGGAGTCTGTGCTGATGGCATAACAGCTGGTGGTGGAGGCAGCTGACCGGAATTCAAGTAATCCACACTGTCAACGCAGGAAAAGAGGGAACATTAAAAATGCTTGAATGCTTGTCACAGATGCAACCATTAGGTGGCAGCATTTGTAAGTACCTACTTGGCATTTGTTTTATAAAGCAGGGTTTTACAACCGCTAACATGAACAGACAGCTATATACAGTGCTCAGCAAAATTGAGTACACCCCATTTTGAAAATGAATATTTGCATTTATTTCTCAGTGAATATAGGCAATGAATTTTGGTGCATTTACAAAAAACAGATTCATTAAGCAGACATATTTATTACAATAATATTTTAGTCATCAAACATATTTAGAAATTGAAAGATAACACAATTAAATTCAAGTTAAATATTGCAATTAAAAATTGCAACCTACAAAATTTCAACTGCATTTTTCCATTTTCTTTGTTTCTCTTGAATTTTTTTCTTTTTTAAATTTGTATTTAATATTTTTCTATAACATTTACATTTGGCTGTACTATTTTTTAGATTGTTTTTGTAAGATATTTTGTTAGATAAGCTTCAGATATGGCTTCAGTACTAACTAATCTAATGTATATGCACAAATATATTATTGTATAACTTCCTGTTATAAATATGAGTTTGAAAGAGAGATTTGTAAGGGGTGTACTTATATATGCTGAGCACTGTTTCAGCTGACGGCTATATATATATATATATGATTGGTGCAAATACTTATTTACTTTAACTTCTAAAAAATAAATAATACAAACTACCTATAGATGTGTTAAAAATGGCAAAAACAAACTAAGAAATTGCTAGAAGTTTCACTACATTTACAGATAACTTTTCTACAGAATCATATCACAATTAATTTATTCTGATAAATACTACAATAGTTACTCATGAAATTAACACTAACACACGCATTTTAAACATTGTCCAATTTTGATAATAATGAATAATAATAATTAAAACATTTATTTGTAATAGTCAATACTCATAATAGTAAAGCATTTATTTAATATTACAGAAACAAAAATTAAAGACAAGACAGTTTATCATTTTCAGATTATCTATGCCTTTCATGTTAAATTATTAGGTCCCACTTTATATTAAGGGGGCTTAACTAATATGTACTTACACCGAAATTAGTAATTTATAGGGATGCTCCGATCAATCAGCCGGAGATCGTTATCAGCCAATAATCACATTTGATGTCTCAATCGGTACTCGCTGATCAGTCCGATCTCATGAACCGATTGCAAATGTTTGTGTTAGTTGAAGATGAGCAAAATACTTGAATGATCCTTAGGCCTTTTTAGAACTGAAAGTTCTGTGTTTTTGACAATATCGGAAGCTTACTAAAACCTGGCTGGAAATATTAGATAATTAAAAAAAAAAAGACCTAAAAATTATTTTTTTTTAACATTAATATTTAACATTAGAACTTCTTGCAATTTACTTATAAATAAATAACAGTATTTTATAGACCTATTTTCTTTTAGTAAGGAAGTAATGAATTTATAGGTTTGCATTTTAACTTCTTATGCATCAAATATGCGCTCCAAACTTTTCTTGGTTGAGACATGTTGTTTCCAAATCCGGTGTTATCAATTTTTCTTACCAATTTTTTTGACATGGTCACACCTAAATGGTTATAAGTGACGTGTTTAAGACAAAATTATATGCAGCATCATTAATTTATTCTGTTAGGTAAGGAGAGATCTTCACTTAAGTATTATAAAGCTGAAAGCATCAGAGTCTGTACTGTGTATCGGTCGATCACCAAGACAAGGAATTGGTACTCTATATTGGCGGCAAAAATTCTTATCGGAGTATCCCTAGTAATTTATTACAATGTTTAAATGCATGTTTTGATATTGTAATTAAGATTGATTAAATACCGGCATGTAATTAAATCTGTAATAAATTTCTGTTATTACAGTTTTAATCACACTGATGACCATCACTTACACCTTAAACCTACCCATACCACCAAACCGGTCCCGAACCCTACCCATATCTCATCGCAAGTGCACCAGAAGTGTTCCACACTACATTATGAACAGATTAAGTACACTGAGTTTATCTATTAATTTTAGTACATAGAAGTTAAGCGCACTTAATATAAAGTGGGGTCAATTATTCAAAGTAAATAAAGAAATATTACTATTGAATAGTTAATTATTTAATAATACCTGTAAGAAAAAAAAATAATAATACATTTATTCATTTTTGTTAACAAGAGTAAAACTGCTAAATTAACACAATTTAGAAACATTTTGCATGAACTGCTTCTCTTTTGATTTATAAATCATTCTCATTTCAAACTTGTGATATAGTTTGGTGCAAATACATCTCATCTTCTCTTTTAGGTGATCTTAAAAACAAATAGACCACAATACAAACTACACAGACATCTAAAAATGAAAAAAAAAGACAAAACTTAAGCATTGTTAATAGTATTACATTTTAGTTTATCTACTCGTGAAACTAATACGTTAATAGTTACTTCAAAACATTAGATATTATTTATCAATCGCTTTAAAAAATGTCAAACCTGTAGTCGACAGGTGGGAGGGTCATGGAGCCGTTGATGGTGTGTGATGCTGGTGGAGGAGGTGGAGCCTGATGTGGGCGACCGAGAGTCCCAGAACGATACGCCATTGACCCGCTGCGGTAATCCTGATCCAGGCTCATCTGAGTATGAGCTGACAGAGCCGCCATACTGGGAGGAGGCCCAGAGTAGGTGTGGGCATGACCGACGTGATTGGCCATGGACAGATAACCGTGATCTGCATGATCTCCGTGAGACCTGTGCCAATTACCAATTAGAAAAAATGAAAACGAGTTCATGGTATATGTGCACTTTGAAGAATAGTTCACCCAAAAATGAACAACTGATGTTAATTTCGTAGATCTAAATACATATTTCCGTCAGTAAAAATTTGTGGCAGACATGTTTTAATATTATGACATATTTCCAACTGAAATAAAACTTCACCCCCTACTCAATATTGCACTTTTGAGCTCTTCCTCTTACATTTTACTCATAACAAAAATAACGGTTGGAGGGGCATGGCTAAGGATTTTTCGTCAGAGAAGGAATGCAATTCCAGAGGCAAGCAAATGGTTAATTTTTTCAAAACAAATTTAGAAGATTAATTTGCACCGATTGATTTTTCACCTTAAGAATTTAAAACCCTGAATTTTGATTTCATACGGACTTTAAAGTGGTCTTAACATGCAAAACGAAAATTGTATTAATCTTTTGATATATATAATAGGTCTTTGTTCCATTAAAAGATCCTACAAGTTTAAACTCTAAAAACATTATCCTTGTTATAAGCAAAACATTTATTTAATTAAACTGTAAAAACTACTTATTTGCCAATGAGGTGGCATGTGACATCACAGGGTTACTCTATAGCCCCTTTCACTCAGTGATACCGGTAAATATCTGGAAAATAACCGTAATGACTTTACCGGTAAATTCAAAAAAGCACTGTTCACACAGGCAAGGGCGTTCTGGAATTTTTCTGGAAAAGACCATTTACACATCCATTCCAAAATACTGGTAAATTCTGACATCATTAACCAGAAATTACCTCTAAACAGCAGTGCTTGTATTTGTAAACAAAGAAGTGGTGGGGTTTTTGTTGATGATTTAATTTTTATTTAAAGCCTTAGCATTCATGCAGCTGCTTTGTCCCAGAGACATCCAAAGGCATAAGCGCAAACTGCAGCTAAATGTTTACACACTTGTCTACATTACAAATTCTGTGAATGGATAGGTATTGTAAACAACTTAAATGAAAACATATGGAGGAACACTTTCGCATGTCGAGATCTACGTAACGTGTGTGTGCAGGAGCTCATCGGCTGCTTCACGTGCACACAGGTCAAGCAACTGAGGCCGAGCTTGAAGGAACATAGAAACCTTATCTGACTAACATCTAACAGCTAAGTGTGTCTGGAAAAAATATCCAAAAGCTTTTATTTTCATAAACAGCGTGCATGTGAATGCATCTGAATGTTCTGATTGGCTGAAGTAGACGTCTGAAGTCAGCGCTTTATAATTGTGAACGCGCTCTTTCCGGCAATTTTCCTTCTGTGTTCACACAGAGCAGCATTCTGGCAAACTACCAGTAATGTTACAACTTCTCTTTCTGGAAAATTGCCAGAACAAAGTTACAAGTATTTTTAAACAGAGCCTGTTCACATATCATGCCTTTCCAGAAAATTGCCGGAAATTGTATGTCTGCAAGGGGCTCATGACTGACACTTGCGTTTACTGAGTTCAAGCGTTGTGTCTTGTTGTATCAAAAGCAAATTCAGGAACATGTGAATGTTTTGTTTTTAATGGTGTAAGAAATCATTTTAGAGGATTATATGCTTTTTAAGAGCATGTGACTGCAGGTTGTTTTCAGAATCAGAATGGTTGAATATAATAGTTCCCATGCATAAATATTTTTTTGTGTGTAAAAGGTTTGTGAACCTTAAGGAACAAAAAAAAAAAACATGCCATGACCCCTTTAAATAAGATTTTTTTATCTGAAACAATGGTCTAATAACTCTGCTTTCTAAAACCTTAATGTATAATAAATAGCGCTGTCAAAATTAGTGCGTTAACGCATGCGATTCATTTTAAATAATAAAAGCGTTAAAAAAATTAACGCAATTAACGCAGTTGCCGTTTTTTTTACTTCCTGTTGTGGTGAACGTGTGTTTAACATGCAAGGAATGTGGATAAGACCAAGGAAGCACTTTTTGAAGGCAAGTTTCAGTATAAAACAATTAGTCGCATCACCAGGCTCTCTAAAGTTTCATGCAATTTCGGGTGTTTCATTTTTAACGTTCGACTTCTGTTGTAAGTTGATACCGCATGGCGAACAGAAAGAAAATCCTCCGCATTTCGTGATTCGGTGTTCCTTTAAGGTAATAAAATCACTGCTTAGGCTACACGGTAGAATTTTAATAAGAGTATTATCTTAATCATATTAAAATCGGAGTATTGGTGTCTTATGTGAATGTACTCAGAAAGTCTCTGGTGAAGTCGCGAGCTGTCAAAGACAGGGCATTACTCTGCCTTTCAGCATGAGCCTCCAAGTTTAGCGTGTTTCCTCATTAAACGCAACGAAAGCGTATGCTTCGCGTTGTTGTGTCAGAATCCTTGTGAAATACAGTAATACTTTAGGACGCTTAGTTTAAGCAAATTTGATGAACGTGATCATGCGTGTTGAATCTGAGGGGAGTCGCTCCAGTATGGAAAGCCGTTGGGGCCAAAATGTCTGCAGCGCGTTGAGTGTGTGTCTGTGTGTGTGTGCCTGTGTCAGGCCCGTTGAGGGGTGTCAGGGGTGGAGTGAGCGACGTATCTGAGGAGGGGCGTGTGCGCGCGAGACATACCTGAAGAACGGTGGGGGTGAGTTGCGCGCGACAAAGGGTACCTGAAGAGCTAGTAGGGAAGCGGGGGAGAGGGGTGTGCAATGTATTTAACGACCGGTTTGCGAGAAATTATCATTCATTTGCGGGCATTTGGGAGTCTCTGTGCAGTTGTGGGATACTCCTAGTCTTAGCAACTGGATGAATGTAAAGGAGGATTAAGCAAAATTGTTTCTACTCTATAACTAATGTTCTAACTAATGTCTAACTCACAGCAATAAAACTTTACAATGAGTGCAACAGTTTGTATTCTATAGTTTATTAATATAATTTTTCATTTTCCATATCTGCAATTCCTGTATTTTGGCATTTTTTTGCAGTCCACTTAGAATCCAACATGGAAATCAATGTTTTCTTTATTGGCATTGATTGTTTTGAAATTTAAATGTCATTAACATGCCTGTATTTTGATTTCTGTAATAAATATGGCTGTCAAGCCAGGATCTTGATGGTTTATTGTGGGTATGTTGTTTACATGAAGAAATCTGTGTTACAAGTTAAACAAAAATTCTATTAAACAATTATAGTTTGAATTTTAGTTCTTATAAACAATTATATTTTGAATTTAAATAGTTTTTGTCTTGCGTTTACATTAATTTTACATTTAAATAGCCAGAATTACAAATTTCAGTATTTTAAATGCGATTAATCGTGATTAATCACGATTAATTTTTTTTAAAAAGGTGCGATTCATTAGTTAATTTTTTTTATCGATTGACAGCACTAATAATAAATAATGTTGTTTTGCCTATACATGTTTTTACCCTCAAAGTGCTGGTAGTCACTGATGAGCATTACATTAATCACCACGGACCACAGTTTCAGCTAAAAATCATCATTAATATACACCTTGAATGACCTGAGGGTAAGTAAATTACCAGTAAAGTTTCAGTTTTGGGTGAACTGTCACTTTAAGCGTATACAGCCAGTGTTACCTGTGCTCTGGGGACATGGTGCCCTCTGTGGATCCTCCTCTGTGTACAGTGTGTGAATGTCGAAGGTCAGGTCTCAGTTCCTTATCGAAGGCCATCATGTTCCACTCCTGCCTGCGGTTACGTGCCTTTCGCACCTTCTTCACCTCTCTCTGCAGTGTGCCATCTACACATCGCCTCTGCTCCTGAAGCAAAGTGTGAAAGTACAAAGAGAAATTGAATTATCCAACATAGATATATAGAACTGTACAAAAAATTACGCATATAAACATTAGGGCTGTCAAGGGATTACAATGATTATTAATATAATGTAATTACATAATGTAATATAATCATAATTTAAGTAGATTTTTTTTATGTGTTTACTAAGCTAAATAAACAATTTCTGCAACATTTCTTTTTTTTTTGTAATTTCAGTTCTGTGCTTATGCTCTGGTCAACTGTTACATCAGTTAAAAAGGTATATCAATTTGTAAAGCTCTAATAGAAAAAGTGACTTTCTCCAAGCGATGTCACTTGCTCTAGTGGGAAATTCTGGTAGGCATTGAGCACAACATCATTTATCTCATTAGTTTGCGCAAAATGTTTAAGATACTCCAATAGACAATTAATTGTCAACTCGGTTACAGAGATTTTCAGTTCATTTCTCCTAAAACCAAAGATATGATGACCATAAAAGTCTGTTTTAAAGATGCCATGTGGTGTCTGGTTTGAGGTTAGCATGTTGTGCTAAACTAAAAAAATGGTGGAAAGAGTCAACACTGTTACTCTCAACTCTGTGGTTTAACAAGTTTAACAAATAGTAACAGAATCAAAAGTTCCTTATCATACTTAGTACTTTTGCATTATGGTAAATTAATATTGGATTTAGTTTACTGTAAACTACACATTTATTGGATGACATTTAAGGTAAATTAATGGAAGATGCTTGAAATGTACCCTCAATTCTGAATCGAGTCATATGCACCGGATCTTAATTTTATACTTGCCTTTTTCTAATACAGTTGTATATTTAACAATCCAGTTATTTTTTATTAAATACATAACTATATCAGAAAATTAAAAATATCAGATCAGGACTCAATAATAAATGCAAATAATAGCATAGAACACACAAAAAAACTTGATCGGCACATTCCTATTATTGACCTCAAACTTCTGAATATATTATAAATAAGAAAAAATGAAAGTAACTGAGAAGAACGGAAGAGGATAAGAAGGGGTGTTGAACCTTCTGCCGTCTCTTCTCTTTCCTCTTGTCTTCGGTGTCCTGCAGCATCTTCTCCTTCCATAAGTCAAAGAAGTAGGATGGGTCGGTGTAAAACTTCAGCCCTTCTTTATCATCATCTCTATACACCAAAAATGTTTGTTTTAGTTTCAGTTTCCTTTATTTTTGTCATTCAAAACATCACAATAAATTGTAATGCAGAATTGATGCAAACTACGTTGCATCAGACCCAACAAGAACATAAAAAACATCAAACAAGCTTTTATAACTTCATAAAAAGCTTAAAAATGTTAGAAATAAAAAAATATATAGTTATATAAAATATAACCCAATTTAAAAAAAAAAAAAATCACAGAAGGGAATAAATAAATACTTAAATAACTATTGAACAGTTTGTTATAATAGTTATAATATTAACAATTTGCGCTACTAATTAACAATTTATATAATAAATTAACAATAATATTAACAATTTTGCGCTATAATATTAACAATTTGCTATTTATTAATTTGTTATTTATACTAGCTATCATTAGTTTTTAAGACACTGTATTATTCAAAAGTCCTCTAATGGCAGGGCAAAAACCCACAAAAAGCCATTTTATTTCTTTTTTTCCTATCTTGCCACCTCGCGTTGGATTTTCTAATCACTTTCTTTTAATTACCACATCAACAAAACAAGGAGTGTGGTAAATTTGGTTCTAAATACATTTACGTAACTACTCTTGATCAGAATTGATTCATTTTACGCATCTCTTCAGAGGAGAAAGGGATTTTAAAAGCATCTTGATGCATCTTTTCTGACTGGATGCTCTTCCAGAAGTGCTATTAATTGGCCATTAATCATTTATGCGAAATGGCCAACAACTTTGTGAACCGCATTCAGCCGAACAGACAGAAAGAGATGAGTCAGAGCGCAGCATCTCTACTGCATTAGATCTGTTCAAGTATTCATGAGTGGCCCATTTTCTCCAGCTTGAGAGCCGGTGTTCACATGAACTACATCTGCCAGCTTCAAGTATTCATGACTGCTCTATATTCCTCCAGCAGACTGCAAAAGAAAACACCTCTGCACGTGCATCTGTCTTCATCATATATATATATCTACAAGTCATATACAGTTGTAATCAGAATTATTAGCCCCCCTGAATTATTACTGTTTATTTTTCCCCACTTTCTGTTTAACGGATATAAGTATTTTTCAACACATTTCTAAACATAATAGATTTAATAACTCATTTCTAATAACTGAATTCTTTTATCTTTGCCATGATGACAGTAAATAATATTTCACTAGATATTTTTCAAGACCCTTCCACACAGCTCAAAGTAAAATTTTAAGCAGGGGTGGCCAACCCTGTTCCTGGAGAGCCACCTACCAGCAGATTTCAGTTGCAACCCATATCAAACACGCTTGCCTGTAATTATCACGTGGTGTTCAGGTCCTAATTAATTGGTTCAGGTGCGTTTGATATGGGTAGAACAGGATTGGCCACCCCTGATTTAAAGGCTTAACTAGGTTAATTAGGTTAACTAGGCAGGTCAGGGTAAGTTCTTGTATAACGATGGTTTGAACTGTAGACTATCAAAAAAAATTTATTTAAAGTAGCTAATAATTTTGACCTTAAAATGTTTTTTTAGCAGACTTTCTCCAACTCATTTGGGAAATAATAAAAAAATAAAAAAATAAAAAAATAAAAGGAGGGGCTAATAATTCTGACTTCAACTGTATGTGTTTTCTTTCGGCTAAATTCAGTTTTATTTTGTTTTTGGTTTAGGTGATAAAAATATAATGTACATTAATGTGCTTATGTATTAAATTAATTTTGTTTCAGAGCTATGCTTTCATTCATCATTCATTCATCCGGGGTCGCCACAGCGGAATGAACCGCCAACTTATCAAGCAAGTTTTTTACGCAGCGGATGCCCTTCCAGCTGCAACCCATCTCTGGGAAAGCTATGCTTTCTGATAATGAAAATAATATTGAATCAAATAATCTATAATGATAAAATGATAAATTAAAAATAATGAGATTAATAAATTCTATCCATGTTAGTCAAATTAGGCATTAATATTGTTATTTGAAAGTAATATTGTAGTAATAATTATTACAGTAATTACAGTAATACTGTAATTTTTATTAACAAAGATGAAAATTATCAAGAAAATATTATTATAATTAAATTGCATTTTAATTGCCATGTAAATTAAAAAAGTTGCAATGTTTGCCCAACTCTATTTGGATATTGGTCAGAAATATTTGAGACAATGTCTCAAGTAGTTGGACAAGCAATTAAACCTGTATCTACAACAGCACTGTTTGGTACACTTCCTTTGTCAGTTCACTGTTCACGATACAAAGCAGATTTTGTGGCTTTTGTGTCCCTCCTGGCCAGACGCCGTATTTTACTACATTGGAAGTCAGCTGCTCCACCTACTCACTCCATGTGGATTAATGACATTTATCTCTTCATAAAACTGGAACAAATCAGACACTGTTTAAAGGGTTCTTCTAAAAACTTTTATAAAATGTGGGGCTCTCTCCTTGAATATATGGAAATGTATACTCCCTGCATACTGGGTGATAGTTAATTTTGACATTTTTCTCTGCTGTGTGACATCTCATGTGATATCAAGACCAGGCTTTTAGTTTGGTGTATAAACAATTGTTATGGTTGGTTGGCATTTTATTATTTTTATTTTATTATTATTATTTTATTTCTTCTGTTGTTGTTGTTTAATTTTTAATCATTTTTTATATAAATATATCTGGGGTTATTAATTGTCATAATCATTTAGATCCTTGTTTACTTCTCTCTCTCTATGTAAAAATGTACAATAATATTCCAAAATGTGTGATATTTGTACATTTTTGAAAATTTCTATAAATAAAGTTGGGAAAAAAAAGTTGCCATGTAAACAGGTGATATAATGATAGTTTGGGCTTGTATTATAATTAATAAACTTATTTCGATATTAGAAAAGACTACATATAATAATTTTATAATAAATGAAAAAAATGTTATATATATTACATTTATAACTTTCTGAATACTATAACATTAATACTCAAAAATAGCCATTTAAAAAATAATAATTAAGTCAATGAACTAAAAAGGAATTCTAAAATGTTGAAAATATTATTATTATTATTATTATTATTATTAAGTAATATAATAATCGTAATATTATAATAATAATAATAATAATAGTTCTATAAATTCTAAAAAATTCATTAAAAATAATAAACATGAATAAAATGTTTTTAAGTTAAAATTTATTTAAAGAAAAATGTAAATATTAAAGACTTTTAAATTAATCAACGCAAGTTAATGGGTGATTTGAATATAAATGTAGGCATAAATAATTAATGCAGATAAAAGAAAGATGAAAATGCTATTCATATGCTACATATTCTAAAATCATAATTATTATTAAAAAAAATTATGTTTAACAGAGCAAAGAAAATTTTCACAGCATGTCTGATAATATTTTTTCTTCTGGAGAAAGTCTTATTTGTTTTATTTCGGCTAGAACAAAAGCAGTTTTTATTTTTTTTCAAAACATTTTAAGGTCAAAATTATTAGCCCCTTTAAGCTATATAATTTTCGATAGTCTACAGAACAAACCATCTTTACACAATAAATTCCCTAATTACCCTAACCTGCCAAGTTAACCTAATTAACCTAGTTAAGCCTTTAAATGTTACTTTAGGCTGTATAAAAGTGTCTTGAAAAATATCTAGTCATGTATTACTTACTGTAATCATGGCAAATATAAAAGAAATCAGTAATTAAAACTAGTATGTTTAGAAATGTGTTGAAGAAATCTTCTCTCTGTTAAACAGAAATTGGGGAAAAAATTAAACAGGGGGCTAATAATTTTGATTTCAACTTTAGATAAAATTATTTTTAAACAAAATAAAATTCCATGTCAATTTTAAGTAAGTGAAATCGATTGTAAATTAAAATGAAAACTATTGATAAATTGGAAATTGATTGAAAAATATTTAACATTGTTCATTACGTCAAATATTTCCCAAAAATCAAAAATCCCAAACGCACACACACAGGCACATACCTGTAGGGTGTGAGAATATTGAGCGGTGGTGGTTTATCACTCAGATTGTACATCTCGGTCACAGGAATGGGAACACTGCTCTTGGACACCACCTGCTGGTCCTGTATAGTAGAGCTCTTAAACGCCTTCCTCATGTTTATGTCCTGCAGAGAGACTGTGAGAAGGAGAGAGATCCATTACCCGCGGCCTCCAGAGAGGGTAAAGTAAACTCCAGTATTGATCTTTTAATTGAAAAAAATAAAAATAACTTCTAGAGACGCACAGATCCGAGTCATCCCACAAGTCAGAACCAGATGTTTTTTTTTTGCTTTTAATTAAGACTATCTCTATTTAGAACATGGATAGAAATGCAATTGAATCATTTTATCAAACAAAGTGTGTAAATGAGGATAAACACAGATGTACTAACAGGCAAAATACTGTATTCTCTTCCATAACTATGCAATAAATGTAACAAATATCAAAAGGATAATATACACAAAAATTAAAGTTATGTCATAATTGACTCAACCTTGACTTGAGTTTGAGTTTTTTGTTCTTTTGAAGAGTAAATAACCACAGATTTTTCATTTTGGGTGAACTATCACATTAACCATTGTTCAATTTATACTTCCACAATTCTGTGATGTTTTTTATCATTAAATAAAAAGATTATACTGAGAAAACTTCTGGGTTTGATCAGCGTTCATTATAGCTCATGTTTAGGTCATTGCTATGGCTTTAATTTCTGAATTAAAATATTAGCGATGATAATTTTTGTATCTATTTTAGTCCTTCTCTAGTTATTTATCAGTTGAGCTGGGGAGGAGGGGCTATAGAGAAAGAGAATCTATGCCACGGCCAGTTTCGTTCTGCCATGTTATAGAATACGCTTCAGAATGCACAATTTATGACCGCGTCATAGTATTACCATATGAAAATCTTACAAACTCACAGAATAAAATGGACTAACATGTAGACACCTTCATAAATGCTCTATTTGTGTGTCTAGAAAAAAATATGCATTTCATGATAATCTGTCTCCAGCTATAAAGAGAAACTTGAGAAGCCGAGCACTGATGCAGATTATCAAATAAATGAACCAGCTTATCTGTAAGTGACAGTAACAATGCGCTGCTGCAAGAAAACATTTCAATATATGATTTTCTTCTTTATTTGTAGTGTGAGAACTTACAGTTTATTGCAAGTCAGAGCAAATAATAGGATACAATAAACCTATAGAGATCAATGCGATCCAAGTACTCATGTCCCAAATTCCCAGAATGCATTGCACTGTAAAAACACGTTCCCATTCTCTATAAAGCAAAACCTCTCTCTCTGTCACATTGTTGTTAGGCTCCGCACCTCAAAGTATGGTTACTTTTGTGAAAATAGTGTTTAAATAGTCTTGCTGCTTGTTATTTTCATATTATTTTTGATTAATGAAATAATTTTGATACTTTCGTATATTCTTCTAACAACAAATACACATCACAGTGGTGTTATTATGCTTTAGAAACAAGACATGTGACTTGTGAAGTTTTGAATTGGAAAAGTTCAGTGGTAGATATGTTGAATGAAGCCCTGCTTTCTAGTAGAGGACCCAATCATCGATCGCCATAAACTGACGATTCTCCTGGCTGGGTCTCCGACCAGAAGTGTGTTTTCAAGACAGTTTATGCAGATGTCATGAACCCTCTGGAGTCAGCAGATGTACTGGAATCTCAGCAAATACTTGCTTCGCTGACATGAGAAATATATCCACATAAAGCTTGAAATCTCTACTTTAAAACGAACCAACTACACCTGAAATCAAATGTTCTTTGGTTTTGTAGTCTGTATGAAATGAACGTGAGGTACAGTCCGTCCCGTCAAATGTTCATCATGTGACAGCAATTAAAGTAAACAAAACCATCGCTGTCATTTTGTGAGGTGATTTTGCAATCAAGAACATGTTGGGAATTACTTAGACCAGCAAGACCAGACGAGGCGTGTAAACAGAAAACGTAAAATGAGTTTAGTGTCATGATTTCATTCCCATTGAGTGAACATGCGCATTAGCTAGGGTAACCTAAAAAATATGCTAATTTTGTGTGATTCAAATGTTTAGAAATTAAACTTAAGAGACAGTGTTGTTTAATCTCTTTGATGATTCCAACTATGAAATTTAAGTGCAAGCTTGGCAAACAGTTTTGGAAAATTTGATGTTTCACCATTGAAACAAAATGACAGAGAGATGTTTCAAAGATGGTCGCCGAGTGACATGACCTGCCTTAAAGGGACTTTGAGCAGGTGCTGTTGTTTTCTTTGTTATAATGAATTCAATGAATGTGATAAATGTAGTGATATTCAAGCTCATGGTCAGACTCATGCTTTTTATGTGAGCATCTGAATTCACTCATTCAATTTTATTCCCTCTTTTCCTGATATCATCCACTCACTCGACTGTTCTGCATTATGTAGCGATGATTAGTGAATGAGTGAATGGGCGAGCGACGCAGCTCTTGTTTCACAGAAGCACAAACACTCACCCTCCTCGACGGTGGAGTCCAGCTGGGTGACCTTGACGGCGAGACGGTCAATGCGGTCCTGCAGAGAGTTCGCCCGCAAATAGAACATGTTTGCCTCGTTGAAGAGCTCGCCGAATATGTCTTCAGCATGTTTACCTTGGGGAGAAGAGAAGAGTTAGCTGAAGATTCATTCATGAGGGAAACAGATCAGGTTAAAAACGAGGGAACAAATGGCATAATATAATGTGAATACGTTTAATTTTTTTTCACTTAAAAATCTTAGCCGACACTGTTGTTGTCTTGGTAAAAAGGTACACTTTAAAATGTAAACAAAACACAATTAACACCAATAATGTAATAATAAAAAGGGATATGTAAATGGAAATTTATGTATATATATATATATATATATATATATATATATATATATATATATATATATATATATATATATATATATATAAAATGAAGAAATAATCAGCTAAATAAAAATTATTATTATAATTATTAAATTGTAATTATTTAATTCTGTGAAATATCCAGTTACTACAACTGTTGCTGATAATGCTAAAAGTATAAATCTAACATTATAATTTGTACAACCCATATTTATTTTCGTGTAATTTTCAATAAATTATTCAGTTATTCGCTCATAAAACTTCATGTTTCGTTGCAACTTGTGTCATTTTTGAAGAATTATTTTTGATGGCTGGATGTTCCCACCTATTGGTTATATAATGTAATTGCTGCCTACAACTTTCATTTTTGAGCATATGAGGGTGATTTTAATCTTTACCATAAACGGTCAGTGGTTTTCTCTAAGATATAAACCGTTTTCCCAGTACTTCTGTGTTATTTGACTGTGTGTAACTTCATAACTAACTTAAAAAACGATAAAAAAAAATAAGTAAACATATGCAAATCAACATCATTAATAATTTATGCTGCGTGGGGGTTGAGATCCTGATCTTTTAATGATTAATCATGCAGCTGAATTACAGTGAATGCATTAATGCAGACTAAGCAAGTAGTGACAGAAAATACCTTTAATAACCTAAGAAACCCACCACATCCCGGATACCCTACCACAAAATCTTTTGTCATCATTATATTATACAAGAAAGCCTACATGCTTTTATACCTTTGATTTGAATGACATGAGAGGTGATCTCTCTGTGATCGTTACAAATTTAGGAATAATCTAACAGTAAAAAAAAATTAATCTGCAGACCACATGTGTTCTGAACCGTGGGTTGTGATCCTTACAAATCACGGATCAACCATAATCCGTTACACCCTTATTGAATTCATTCTCTACATTTTTTTTCAATCACTAATTTTGTACACTCTATTTTGAAAATTAAATTTCTCTTTTTTATTTAATATTTTAAATAAATAATTTTCTTTTATTCTTTATTTAAATCTTTTTTTTTTAGTATGAGGATCTTCATCATGGCTATAACAGTTAGTAAATCCATAACAGTAAACCTATTTTAATAACATGTAAAGTTAAAATAACTGTAAAATAAACAAGTACAATGATCAATAGAATCCAATTCAATTAAATAAATTAATTAAAACTAATAAAGAAAAAAATCGTAAAAAAAAAAAATCAAAAGCACAACAAATGAATAAAACTATTAATAAAAAATAAATTAATGTAAATTAATAAAACAACAACATCTTAATAATACTATATAAATGCTGCTTTTCATGTGAATAACTTAAAACATATGAAACATTACATAAGAAATGTGAATTTAACTGAGGCTATTAAAAACTACCATCAAACAAAAGCACACAGGAAAAAAAAAACGTCAGGAAGGAAAAGTATCTGTTCCTTACAAATTCTTGACCTATGACCCAATGCGCACACACACATACACACACTTCAACTTGCTTCCAGTACTACACCCTCCAACACATGAAAAGCATGTTTCCAGACATGCACATGCTATTTTAGTCACACGCACACATCGTCTACAGCTCTGCCTTCAAGTCCAGTGGGCTGTCATTTATATTTAATCCACACAGCTGCTACCGAAAGGCCTCTCCTTCTACAGGCATCCACTAAACAGCACACAGTAAAGACACTGGAGGGCATTCCAGGGCTCAGATGGACACTTATAGAACAGGTGGATGCAAAAAAAAAACATAGGAAGGATGCATGGATGGACAAATCGGTCGCTGGCTACACAGAGACGTGGACATGTTTTCAAGATAATGGTCTTATGTAATGTCCCGTGAGTCAAGAGGAATTATTATTAAAAAGCTTCCCTCTGGCGTTGTGAGCTGAGGAAACCACTGGACCACTAAATTATAGACCACACAAAATGGAAATACAAATGTCTAGAGTGAATAAGAAATGGACATTTTGGTGTAAAGTAATGCAGGAACTGTGGAAACAAAATGATTCATGTGTTTTATGTATTTTTAACAGAGATGAATCACAAGTGAGCAAGAACAAATCACTAATTATTATTAATTATATTTATTATATGTAGCATAATGTGTATTTTTTTTCTTTATTTATAGAAGTTTTTTATTAAAACAAAACACCCAATAGTGTACATCATGTATATATAACACTAGAAAACAATACAGCAATTTTACAGCACCATCAAAAAAAAAATCTCAGCCAGACTAATTGAATAAGAAACAAAACAGAATGACAAGTAAAAATGAAGGAGAGTAAACATTCCAGAAAAAACTGTGTATTTTAATTAATTAGGAATTAAGTTTAATTAAAAATGAGGAAATTAACTACATTAAAATCTAGTGCTATTTTGTTTTTAAAACATTCTGTTTACTCATATTTGAATTTCTTTTTCTGTTGAAAAAAAAAAGATATTTTGAAGAATTTAGGAAACTGATACTGCCATCTACATCAATGGTTTTTCCTTTTACTACTGTTAATGGATAATGGTTTGCAACATTCTTCAAAGTATCTTAAGTGTTTAAAAAAAGATACTCCTAAAGGTTTGAGTGAGTAAACATTTATTTTCAAGTATTATAATAAACTAAAATAACATCCATTAAAGCTGAAATATTTTTGATACTGAAGAACATGTAAGTGCAAAACTGGTTGCTAAGATGTTTTAGGATCAGTGGTGGGAAGAGTACTGAAAAACGCTGATGCATTTACATGTCATTTGTGGATGTGTGTAAACTTTACATTCTGCAGTGCATTTAGTTATTGCCCAGCAGGCACACGCCATAAAAAGTTAGATTGCCCAGCAGGTACACGTTACATTTAGGATGTGTCAGGTGACCAAAATTCAATGTCTAGCCAGCGTCTAAGGACGTTGTTGTCAAATGACGTTGATATTTGCTTAATTTTAGGTTGTGTTAGAAAGTGACTAAAATCCAACGTTGAGCCAACATCTTAAACCAACGTCATATTGACATCAAACACTGACATTTATTCATCAGGTATGGCAACCAATATCCAACATCTGATAGACATCATAGTCATAAAGTCCACACAACGTCAAGCTGTAACACCATTAGACGTTGATATTTGGTTGATTTTAGGTTGGACGTTAGACACTAACGTCGGCCTGATGTTGGGTTCTAATGTCAACCCTATTTTCATTTCCAAACAAAATGCAACATCCCTGTGATGTTGGGGTACAAGGCCAATCTGGCGTCATGTTGACATCCTGTGCCTGCTAGGTGTTTAAGGCCATTTAGTCATCATACAGTAAACATCTGTTATTTTCTCATCAGTGACATGCATCTAAACAGTCTCTGGGTCACTGCGTGTAAAGATTTTGCGTAGATTTTTTTAATGCTTAAAAACAGTTTGCTGAAATTATAAATTGCCTGTGTCTTGTGGTAGTTCATTATGAAGTTCATTTACCTTCTATGTGCGATTGGATTAGACAGGAATCACCAGACTGATATATCTAATCCCAATAGACAGGAAATAATAAAATAGTGACTGCAGGTTGAAGGAAAGTAGTGGAGTAAAAGTACAGATACTGCACTAAAAATGTACTCAAGTAAAAGAAAAAGTACACTTTTTTAAAACTACTCAGTAAATTACTCTATTACAGTAGTTTGAGTATTTGTAATTTGTTACTTTACACCACTGGTCAGGATCCTCAAATGTTTTAGTACAAAGTTTAAGACAAAATACCTGAGAAATGTGTAAGTGAAATTTCCCTTTTTGTTAGAAAATTTGTTCATAACATCATTCAAATGTATATGGTTATATCACAATCATGTTTGTAAGTTTGGGATCAGCATGACCAGAATGTTTGAGCTATAAATATTAATAATAAAATAATAATTTTTATTCAGCAAAAGTTTATTAAATTGACCAAAAATGCCACTCTGGGTAAAAAGAATTGCAGTTTTTTTCTATTCATCAAAGCATCTAAATAATGCCATATGGATTCCACAAAAATACTACATAAAGTAAAACATCATTGATAATCATTTAAATAATATTAAAAAATATATAATAATAAAAATGTTTTTGAGCACCAAGTCAGCATATTAAAATGTTGGATATCATCACACATCCAAGCACCTCTGGAAGTGGTCAAAAGTGGACAAGCTCGACACATTTTAGTGTGGTCCATTTGTTCAGACTGATGAAAACATCTTAAGAACTGTTTCTTCTCATTATTATTACTTTTAAATCTTGAAAACACACAAACTGCTGTGGTACTTTGTTTCACTATGGGTTACAATTAGTCTTTAGTCATACTAATTAGCTTAAATACCATTAGAAGCTAAAGCTAAGTCCCGAATTAGCCAGGTAAACAGGGGTAGGAGACTTACTGAGGCTGCTGAGCTGGCGTATGATGGCAGAGAGTGTGTTGTTCATCACACACTCCAGCTCGCTGCCGATGCCCTCCGGTAACACCCCGCGGCACAGGTGCCTGGGCTCGATGTTTCTCTTCACCAGCGGCATGACTGACCCTCACACAGCCGCAGCGCACGCTACCTGTTCAGACAAAATGCAAACACTGAATTAGGGCTGCACAAAATATTGTTTCAGCATCAATATCACAATGTGCATATCCACAATAGTCACACTGCAATGTTGAGCCGGGATTCTATAGTTCAGAATTATATTGATTGTATTGAGATTATATATATTTATACAAATATTTATATATGTCTGGTTCTTCAATCTGATTTGCTGATAGCCGTGCGATATTCTCCAAACAACAGCACTTGTACAGCCTCTTGACCCTTCACCCTTGTGTATTTCTCCACCCACATATAGCGACAAGCAGAGGATATTCTACAGATTGACAAATATTGCTGCTGTTGGGCAACATAATGTACTTTTTAGGCTTTTTTTTGTCAATGTAGCAAAACAAAATTCATTTGCCCATGTTTTAAGCGCTAAAAGAGTTTAAAGCATTCAGAGACAAGCAAGCTTTAATAGAAAATCGTTTTATTGACCTGTTTAAACAGTAAAGTCTTTGCAGCGTTATTTATTGTTTGATTTTTGAACAATTTCTTCCTGTGATGCGACAGTGCTAACCACTGAGCCACGGTGTCACCTCTACACATTACCTAGTTACATCAAATGAAACAGCTAATAATTATGCAAATTACACAGTTTCTTTGGATAAGTGCAGATAGTGGAATGTTTGCCAAGCAACAGACATCAAATGTGGCTCAACATGTCATGTACATTGTCACTGTATAAATAAATAAACGGAATCAAGGACCGGAACTATTCATTTTATAATATAGATTTAAATATCTGCAGTCAAGGGTGACGCAGTGGTGCAGTAGGTAGTGTTGTTGCCTTATAGCAAGAAGGTCGCTGGTTCGAACCTCGGCTCAGTTGACGTTTCTGTGTGGAGTTTGCATGTTCTCCCTGCGTTCACGTGGGTTTCCTCCGGGTGCTCCGGTTTCCCCCACAGTCCAAAGACATGCAGTACAGGTGAATTGGGTAGGCTAAATTGTGTGTGTGTGTGTGTGTGTGTGTGTGTGTATGTCTCTCAGAGATGGGTTGCAGCTGAAAGGGCATCTGCTGCGTAAAAACGTGCTGACGGTTAAGTTTGCAGTTCATTATGCTGTGGCGACCCCGGATTAATAAAGGCACTAAGCCGACAAGAAAATGAATGAATGAATGAATATCTGCTGTCAGTTTTTACAATCTTTTTTGTAATATTTAAGTTTGTCAGAGTTGCCAAAAACAGGAGTCTTCTGTGTTTTGTATTTTTTAATAAAATAATGTTCATCATATACACATTTTTTTTGAAAGTCAAGGTACAACAATTTTAAAGATTTTATTTCAACAAAATTATTATATTGTGAAATTTAAAAACAAATGCCTTGGTAGTTCTACAGTTAAACAATTTTGTCATAGAACAGGACAATCAATAAGTTTGGAGAGGTGTCATATTTTGCAAGAGAAGGCAAATAAGGTCTTATTTCAGCAGAAGAAATGCTGAAATTTTAAACTGGCTTGTTGCATACCAAGATATAGATTACTTTGCTGTTATTATTAGCACTGTGAATGCTATTTGGTGTTAAAAAAACAACTACATTTACATACAGTACAAGAAATCTTTTAATATACTCTTCAATTTAAAGACTTTTGACAAGTAAAAAGGCCACTATTTACTGTCAACCACCATCATATTTGTGGCATTTCTTTAAGATTCGGTCCGGGTTCAAAAGCAGGTTAGCTCACATCAACCCATCTATTGACCCTGAGTGTGACAGGTGTCATTCTGGTTCAGCTACTTTAAATCATGTTTTTGTCCTTTTGGTCTCTGCTTTCTTTTTGGAGGAAAATTTTAAACTCATTGTCTACTATTACCACTTATGATATTCCACCTTGTCCAATTATTAGTTTATTTGGGGTTCTCACACCTGGCCACACTTTACCCTCTTATTTTGCAGACTTAGGCCCAGTTTACACTGATACATTTTAGTTTTAAAATGCAAAAGGTTTGCTACGGTTACGCCTTCTGTCCACACTAACCTGGGGCCTCATGTATCAACGTTGCGTACGCACAAAAACTTTGCGTACGCCAGGTTTCACGCTCAGAATCGCTCACGTTTGGATTTACTAACAATGAACTGAACGTGGGAATGTGCGCAGCTTCACGGCAGCTTTTTGGCAGGCGTACGCACATTTTTTGTGCGTGTCTGTTTTATTTCCATTGGCGACTCCTAGAGGCAGTTGTGTTAAATCCCTCTCTACAAGTGTCTGAGCCTTGCAATGGCAGCTGTATGAGACGGGTTCATCTAGCAGGTAAATAAGGTTTCCATACCATACAGTTGAGCAGCTAAACATTAAAGCACAATTTGCAGTAGTCGCCTGTTTTCCCAATGTAATCTGAGCTATCTACTGCACGCACATTGCTATAAAGACACTATCTGAAGATGAATTTGCATTCGTGAATCAGAAACATTTCCATTCAATAAATGTGCAAATAAAATATGATGCACAAACTTATTGATGATTCCTACTTGTCTTTCTCGTGATAAATAGTTGGCAAAATCTGATATGTAGCGGGGAAAAAAAAAGAAGAAAGAGTTCATCAGACGCTGGATTCGAGCCGAGTTCAGACTCGAACGTGTCAAAACATGACCACATGCGTCTTACGAACGCGCCACTGAGACTGCTTAGGGTGCTGCAACATTTTTCAGTTATAAACCACACTATTTATTTTTTTTAATGCACTCAGTGCAATGTTCAGACCCAACTGTGTTAACCGTATCAGCTAAACTCTCCCACTCTATTTTTTTTCTTTTGTTGTTAATTCCGGAGAACAAACTTGCAAATAACACCGCTTTTCTCCGGTCTACCTCTGAAAGGAGCACCTCCAATTCACATTCTGTTCAAAGTTTCTCTTTTTCCTTGCTTTTGCCATTGCTTTTTCGTTGGGTTTTGCCATTAGCATAGTCATTAGCATATTCATACGGGGGAGGAGGCAGGGAGGGGTTTTGCGCTCGTGCATGTTGCGCTCAGTTTCACGTTCATTCGGATGTACAAAAAAATATGCGTGAGATTCGGCGTATGCAGTGTTTCATACATCAGAATTTTTTTCTGCGTACGCACATTTACAGCTTTGTGCGTACGCAATGTTTTAGTAAGATTTCCACGCAAGTCTTCGTACATGAGGCCCCTGGAGTTTTTGAGTCCTGAATGTTTAAAACATTTTTGTTTTTAAACACTGCTGCTCCGTGTTAGTGTGGATGGGGGAAAATGGAGACATCTGAAAATGGAGGCAAGGCTGCCGACATTCGCCTATCTGATTGGGGCTTTTTACTCAAGTTTTTCCTTCCTTAAGTTCAGACTTCGCAAGTTTTAGATGGAAAACAGACTCCCGATGACACGTCGGGTGAATCTTCAATGGGACAAAAGTCATTTATAACCTCATTCACATCAGCCTGGCTACATTGTTTCATTATCTCAACAATAAAATGAAAACATGATATCAGGAACTGGCTATTTACATTTTGATATTAATTTAATCATTAACACAAACACAAAAAATGTTAGATATAAACACAAAAAATGTTGAGGCATCATGTAGCTACATAATTATATGACCGTCATCTTCTCTATATGAATATTTATAACAAAACAGAGCCTACTGACCTTATTCTTTGCGTACGAGCGGGCCCAGCCATTCAAATCTGTTTTTGGCTTGAGACTTCCACTCTTATTCACTTCCATACATTTTTAGACGTTAAAAACAACTCATTACGCTGCTTGATGTAGCAAACTGAAAATTTCTTATTATATTATTCTGCTTTGTCTGTATAGTCATGAACACAATTGTTTGTAGAGCAAGTAGTTTGATCGTTTTTTGCCGTTTATTATTCCTTGTCATTTCTCCCATAGGCGACTGAATCGGAAGATCTAAAACAATTGTGAAAACAGGCGTACTTCCACATTGAAGAATAAGGTGGATAACATTACTGCCTTCTTTCATTTTCATTGAAAAATATGAAACATACCCAATCTTTTTCTGAATATCAGTTTTAATAATCAACAATGGCCATTATAAAAGTTTTACGCACAGTGAGTTTATACAATAAATGAAAAAAGGCAAGCAATCAGTCAAATGTGCGGAATCAGTGTGTGGTTAATATTAACTTATGTTTGCGCTCAGCTAAAACACATTACCTGAGGACAGGGGATAGATTCAAGACCAAAGAGTTGTTAAATAGAGACAAGATTAATTAAATTTCACGTTTAACAACAATAGTAGATGATGAAACACAGCAGAAGATCCTTGATGAACTGTCCGACGTCACTGTTCTCATCCGTGAAGCTATGCTCAAAGCACCCGCTGACTGCCCGGAGCTCAGACGTGCGCATATGCTGCAGCGCATGACAGAATGTGTGTGTGGTCATATGATGTGTGTTTTCAGCAGTGTAGTGTGGACGGAGATCTTTTCAAAAATGATAGATAAAATGCCAGTGTGGACGTGGATTGTTTTCATTCTAAAACTAAAACGTATTAGTGTAAATGGGGCCTTAGTTTGTAGCCTTCTTAACCCTTCTGGCAAGGCAGTTAATTCTTCTGAAGTGGAAGAGACGTTTCACACGTGCTGGATAAAAAATGTTCTTTATTTTGTGAAATTAGGTCATCTCTTCACCAACCTAGCACTATTTTGACACTGGGAACTCCTTCGCAAACAAGTCCAAACTCTTCAGCTTGACCTTGTTGTTTCTGATTGAGTCCCTACCCCAAACTCCCAGCTTGGTGCTGGATACAAGTTCTGGTCGTTCTGGTCAGCACGTTTTCTATACGCGAGATTGCACTAGTGTGTTTTTTTTTCTCTTCAGTGTACTTTCTTACTGTTACATGTTTTTGTTGTCCTTTATTTTGTATCTTTTTGTAATGTGTTTTACAATGTATAAACAAAACATTATAAAAAAGTTTCAGTTCAGACATCATTATGCCACCAGTACCTATAAAAGGATCAACTATGCAGCTGGCATTGGTATTTTAAAAT